GGCAGTTTGACATTTGCAAATGTTAGCCACTATATATACAAATAGATTAAAAAAATTTTTCTGTATAGCATAGGGAACTACATTCAATATCTTATAATAACCTTTAATGAAAAAGAGTATGAAAACAAATATAAGTATGTATATGCATGACTGGGACATTATGCTGTACACCAGAAATTAACACATTGTAACTGACTATACTTCAATTAAAAAAAAAGAGACTGGACAAAAAAACTCGCACTTCAACTAAAAATAGGTAAATATATACATACATGAAATAAGTGTAATTACCTCCCTCCAAAAAAAATAAAATAAATTTTAAATAAATAAATATCATGTAGTATTTCTTTCTTAAAACAACTCTTGCTAATTTTGAGCTTATATATATATATAGATATATATATAAGGTGCTACTGCTGGCTCTTTGAAAATTCTTTTACCCAATCTCCTCTTCCTTTGTCGGAGCATTACTCACCACTGATTCCTTTACTTCCCTTGCAGCCAATATATTATTCATCCCTTTTGTTTCATCTTCTCTCTCCCATTAATCTCTTCTCTTACATCCTCTTTAACCCCGGTTCTAATCAACTTACAGCTAGATTACTGGAGTTTATGGAGGAAGGAAGAGAGATGGCTTCTTAACTAATCTCCCCACAAGTTTACCCCAGGTCCAAACCAAGCTGTGTGTAAATCACTTCCAGGTTAAGTTGCCCAAAGTTGAATTTTCGTTACTTACTCCTCTGCTTAGATTCTTCATTTTTCCCCCAAATATAAAGTCCTGTCATCCTTGCTAGACATCTAAGATACATCACAACACTTCACACTAAGTATCTTAGCTAAGATACTTCACAATTCCAGCCGTTTTAACTTTAACTTCCTAACACAAACCAGCATTCTAGCAAGACAGTTACGCTGACTGGCTCCTGGTTTTGCTCATTTCCACTGCAGCACTTTTACTCACATGTGTCCCTGACTAAGCTGATCTCTCTCAAAACTCTCTGTGTATTCAAATTCTTATATCCTTCAAGACCTGGTCAAGTCTTTCCTCCTTCAAAGCCTTCCCCTTAACAGCCAATGAAGAAAATACAGACAATTTATATACAGTGTGTATATATAAATATATACATCTGTTGTACTTTTTTCTGTGATTTTCAACAGAACTTTTTAATAATGTACTTTAAATGAAGCAAAGAAACAAAAAAATCCAAACATAGGGAATAATCAAAAAGCATATTTCACTTTGACCAAAAAAAAAAAAAAAAAGCTAAAACTTCTATGAGAATACAAATGTTCATTTCCTTTAGAGAACTGATACCTTATGCTACATAAAAAGTTTACCCTTATTCATAGCCTTCATTTTAGTAAGCACGATACTTTATCTAATCAAATAGTACTGCCAAGGACAAAACATATCCATATATGTTTAGATAATTAACGTTAAGTTTATTTTGAGCTATAAACTCCTAATTTTAACCATTATATCCAGTAGTCTTGCAAAGCTGACAAATATATAAAACTAAAGTCAATAGTGCCTGACAAGCAACAGTAAAATTGCTTGCATTTTCACAAGTGGTTTACATTTAAAACTCCTTAGGTTTTGTAACAACAGTGCTTTTTCTTTTATTTAAAAATTAAAAAAAAAAAATTTTTTTTCGTGTAAGGAAATTTTATTTAATGGTGGTACTGGGAACTGAACCTAGGACCTCATGCACCTAAGCATGCGTTCTACCATTGAGCTATTTCCCTCCCCAGCAGCAGTCCTCTTAAAAGTTATTTTTTTACATAAAGGCAGTAAAGTCCTTAGGATAACCTAACATAGCAATTAACATACTTCCAAATTATTTCACTATTAAAAATGTTATCTTTAAATGCCTATATTTACATACATATGTTGTTATAAATTAAAACAATTCAATTTTTAAAAGCATATTACTCCAAAACTAGTAAGTCAGTAGAAAACAAATATGATAGCCCACAAATACTACCATTCCTATGCCCATTTGGATTCAAATCAACCGTTTAATGAATGTCTATAAGCAACTTCCTGAGTTTTTATGATATAATATAGTTCACTGTACCTTAAGATCTTGCCTTGTGGCAAGAAGTTCAGATTCCTTCCCATAGAAATCAGACTGAAGCTGTTTTAGATTTTCCTGACTTTTTTCATAGGTGCTTTGTAACACTGATATTTTCTCTTTCTCTGCTGCAAGTTCCTGTGCAGCTTGTGTTGACTGCTGCTGTAGTTTATTCTCAAGTTCTGTCTGAAACATACAATAGTTATTTAAAACAGTATGCATACAAAGAACCAGTTCCAAATATAGAATGAAATCCATACAAAGATTCCTGAGAATCGCAGTTATCCCCTAAAATTCTACTTTAATAAAGAGAAATGTATCTCATAGTTACAAAATTAAAGAACTGTAAAATACAAAAAGTCCCAATTTAAAAAACAAAAATGCAATTAAATAAAGAAAAGAAGGATTTCACTGGGAAGTCCCAAGTATCAGGTCTCAGGAGACTAAGAGTAAAAACCACATTCTGATGAAAGATACAGTGCTATATGCTTTAGAAGATGAGAACTTAAGGTTGAACTATGGGAAATTTCTACATGAAAGAATTAAAAAGCCATTACTGAGTTGAAGTATGTCATTTCTACTCCTAAAAAGTCAAGAATAACAGGAAATTTCTACAGATCATCTTTATTACCATGCTTATTTTGACGCAGAAAAAAAGAAAAAATCTTGTAAGGTCCAATTCCTCTAAACTCTCAATTTGTCTTCAGTCTTTTAAGAAGATTCAGGAGATGTACACATATTATGACATAATTAAAATATAGGTATGCATAGTATAAAAATAAACACTTGCTTTTAACATAAATACACTACATCAATGAAAATGCTGTTGAGGTCACCAGCGACCCCCTTGTTCCAAAATCCAACATTTATATCCTTGTCCATATTATATGGTAACATTCCTTGTCACCTCCAATCAGATTCTTCATGATGAAGAATTCCTGGACATCATTTTTCATGTTAAAGGCTATATACTGCATTTAAACATTTTATTTTATAGAATACTACTTCTTTTCTTTAACATTTTCCCCCCTGCAAATCAAGTTTTCTTTCTCTGTATTCGCCTTTGTGGCTCTCAACTAAGACCTCTAGAAAGTCTCAACAATGATCATAATTGCCCTTTGGGCTCATATTTGGGCCTTCATTTTATTTACTCTAAATGACAGACTCATTCATTCATCTTTTAAAAATCATTGATAGCTTGTTTGTTAGAAAAACTTCTCTGACTCTGAAGAATTCAGATCTGTTGGTGGGGATGTTAAATTTTTTTTTTTTAATTCCACAACTTGTTAATTGTTTTAATAGAAGTAAACCCCAAGTTCCAAAGGAGAATACAGACAAGAGAGTCAGTCATTTATAACTTATCCTTCACATACTGATCACTCTTTGCTCTAAAACAGGTCTGACACATTTCTCCCTTCTTAAAAATCTTTAGTCTTCCAATATTAAAAATTTAAAAGTGGAAACAACTGTACAGCATCTACTGTGCTCTGACTTCATCTAATTCTGTAGCCTTATCTCCCCTCACTTCTCCACTTTACAAGTATTCCAATAGCTAATGTTCTATAATGACATTTTTTTAATTTCACAAACTTTGCTAATATTGTTTCCTCTCCTTGAAATATCTAATTTTTTCCTTTTTTTTTAACCTTTCAAAATCATAATCATCTTCAAAGACCCAGTTCAAATGCTAGCTCCTCTGGAAAGCCGAATTTTTCATTAAGTTCTAATTTCTCTGGGGGGAGGAATAAATTAGGAGTTTGGGAATAACAGAAGGACACTACTATATATAAAATACATAAACAACAAGAACCTACTATACAGCACAGGGAACTATATTCAGTTTCTCAGAGTAAGCTATATTAGAAAAGAATCTAAAAATATGTGTGTGTGTGTATTTATATGTTTATCTATATCTGAACTGCTTTGCTGTACACCAGAAATTAACATTGTAAATCAACTACACTTCAATAGAAAATAAATTTTTTCAGAAAGTTTAAAAAGTACTTATTTTTCTCATTCTCCTTTTTATTTAAGTTTTCTTTTTCTTTACATACCTGCTTCTTCATTAAACTATAAGCTACCTGAGAGGAGAGGCCATATCCTATTTGTTCTGCATTCCCCTATTAGATTTCAGATCAAGTTGGTATAGGAACTGATGACATAGCTTTGCTGAATCCTTCATCAGTGCCTCCCGAACAGTCACATAAAAAATGTATGTCAGTATATGTGTGTTTATATACACATTGTGTGTACACATACACATCTATAACCATTTAAGCATTAGTCTTGTTTTTTATTATGTCACTGTGGGCCAGTGATGTTTCCACAGACCATCACTGTGTGGTCTACCATGCACATTGACACTCTTAGATCAGTTTGCTATACTTCCATATACTATCCAACAACTATTTTGCTTCCACATGGCACTGGGCACAGCACTAGGTACTTTAAATACATTATTACATCTTTATAGTTATAAATAATAAAGATATTACTATATCTTTACAACTCTAAGACCCCATTCTATTTAGCTCAGAAGATTAACTTCCCTGTGACCATAAACCTAATGTGTGTCAAGTAAAATTTAAATTCAGTTCCGTGTAGCTCTAAAATTCATCTTCCTTCCGTGATACTACACTGTTCTTCAATAAAAACCAACCTATTCTTGCCTTTCAATGATTCTCTAGTTACTCCAAATTTCAAGTCTAATTTATAGAGAGTGGCTTACTATCCAACACTCCTCCAAAATGCTGTCCTCCCCAAGGTTCCTTTTTCTAGCATCCATATATTAACATAAGTGAACTACTGCTATGGATGTTTGTGACCTCCCAAAATTCATATGTCAAAGCCTAGATCCTCAATGTGATGGTATTTGGAGGTGGGGCCTTTGGGAGGTCATATGGTCATGAGGGTGGAGCCCTCATGAGTGGGATTAGTGCCCTTATATATAAGAAGCAACACATGAGATGATCTCTATTAGTCATCTAAGGATACAGCAACAAGGCAGCTGTCTACAAGCCAGGAAGCAGGTCCTCACTAGACACTAGATATGTCAGGTGCCTGTATGTTAAACTTACCAGTCTCCAGAATGGTGAAAGATAAATGTTTATTGTTTTAAGCCGCCTAATCTATGGTATTTTTGTTATAGCACTCCAAATTAAGACAACTACCAATAAGAAAATTTTCTCTAAATCTCATAATCTTTAAGGTATCATCAAGTAAAGTCATGTAAAGTATAGTCAATATACATCAATCATAAATCTGAAAAAAAATCTTATTGTAACTTGTAATTTAATTAAAAATGTGCTAAATAGTTTTTTTAATTAACTAAGTTATGGTGCTATGAAAATGAAGATCTAGGGAATATGTGAATATGAGGCTAATAGATTTTGAAAAAAACTGACCAAGTATAAAATCATACAACAAAGTATATATTGTGATAATTACATTCTGATTTAAGATTATATACAATAACACACACACACACAAAGATAGACAAATTTGTCTACTCTTGTTTGTGTTACTAGAAAATTACTCCTTTGTAAAGTGGCCACAAAATAGTTACAAGAACAGTGATCAACACACAATACATATTTGTGGGGTTAATTTTTTTTTCCTCTAGTAATATGATAAGCCAACTCTTAATGACATATTTGTTTCTACATACTAGAGATTTTACATCTCTCTTCTCCATGGACTATTTAATGTGCACATACCAATGGTGGAGAAAATTCATTTGGTTCAAATAGTAAGTTCAATCCATTTTTATCAACTCTTGGTCTGGACAAATATTAAAACATTTAAGATGAAGAACAGATGGTTAATAAATTAGCATAGGGTTGGAAATGGAACTCATTATGATGTAACGTAAAATAAACAAGCTGTTCCAACTATATGAAACCTACACTACTGAATATTTAAATCTATCCCACTTTGTGATTTTTGTTTCTCATATTCCCATAAAAATAAGTTTAATTTTTAAATTCTTTTAAAATTTTCTAGTACACTAGAAATGTATAAATTATTCTCAACATAGTTAAATGTTATTTTACAAAAAGGTGGTTTTATGTCTACCAGACAAATGAGTAGTGCTAGAATTTTAAATAAGAATTATCTCACAACATGGTTATAGTGAATGGAAATCCAGACAGATATTTAATCATATAATTAGATGCATTTATACATTAAACTTAGAAAATTTTTGAGCATATGTAAATTTTTCTTTGTTGCAACTCATCTGTGTTACCGTATTATTATTTTAACTGCAAAGTTTTTTCTCCCACAAAAAGTAAATAAATGTCATATCACTACCTTCTGTGAAACAGCAACTTTAACTTCTTCTTGGAGTGCTTCAATTTGCTTTTTCTTCTGTTCAGTCAATTGCTTTAGCTCTTTTATGTTACCCTGAAGTTGCTGTTCTTCTTTTTCCTTTTGTTTTAAAGTATTCTGGGCCTTTGTGACTTGTCCCTGCATTGAATTGAGCTCCAGCTTCAACTGATGAGAAGTCTAAAAGAAAAAAAAAAAAATCTGTTCAGCATTTACTTACCCATTCAACACACACTTATTGAGTACCTACTTCATCCAAGCACCACTTGAAGTAGAAACTACTGAGTCTGTTGACCACATGTAATTAATTAGTAGTAAACCAAAAAGAAAAACCCTTGCCCTCATGGAGCTTTCATTAACTGACACTATTCACTATTAGATGACATAGTGGATTAATCTTCAATATTTGTTCAATCCTACCTTCCTTTTTAACTTATACATTTGGATAGAGCTTATAAATGAACTAGGCTAGTATTCCTTGGTATCACAGAAAACAGGAATATCAACATCAGTCTTTAGACTGCTGAAATGTCTACTGTCTTTCAAGAATATTCTCAAAATTCTAAATGACCATGTTAGCCACAGTCAGTCAGAAAGGACAGCTTCATATTAACTGATAAAACTAAAATGATTTTTGGGAAATCCGTTTCATATCTGTCTGATGACAGTAAACTATACCACACAATAGTTTCCTCATTTTGAGATCGGAGGCATATTTTGCTATTATCTTGTTTATAAAAAGTACTAGGATGTATTTCTGTTCAAAGTTAGTTATTATATATGTCACACTGAAGTTCCTCTGTGGACAAAGTCATGTTTTCATGTTTTATGCATATTTCATTAAGAACCTAATCTGAGCATTTGACTATATTCAAAGCTACTTATGAAAAAGTTTCAGTGCTATATATGGATGTTTCAGCTTAACTCCAATGCAAAAGGAAAGTTTTTTGTTTTTTGTTTTTGCAAAACAGGAGTCAGGTAGTGTTAACAATAATAATAATGATGTTAGGATAACCAGCGATTAAGTAATAGCTAATACTTGGCCACTTACTTTGTTACAGCTGGTCTTCTAAGCACTTTGAAATATTTTAACCCATTTATTTCTCAGTAATCCTGTGACACAGATTCTGATGATTAGCCCCATCTTACTGCTGAGGAAAATGGCACTCAGAGAGCTCAAGTAATCTTCCTCGACAAGGCAACACAGCATGGCTAATAAATGGCACAGCCAGGATATAAATCTGGATAATCTGGATTCAGAGCTTGGGCACTAAGTATAATTTTGCCACTTACGGCCAGCATCTAAAGTACAGGTGTCTTCTTTCAGCCAACAACCAGAATACAATCACACTAAACACTTGTCAGGAGTAGGTTTTGCTGCTTGATGAAATCAGATCTCTAGAAAGCTACATGCCTGGACTCTAGCTGCTAGAGGTATGCCTTCAGAGAAGAATACATAATATGTCCATTTACTCATTTGCTTGTTTGTGATAGAGAACAGTAGAAGCATCAACCATGGAAAACTTTCTTGTTATACAACCATCAAATATACCATTAATATAAAAGTCCATGAAATAAAGAGCCCTTAAAATGTCATTTCTAGAGTCTATCAAGATTTTTTTTCCAACCATAATAATGTTCTTCAATGTAGATTATCTAATTGTAACTCTATAGTTAATTGACTCAATTTCCCACTTTTATTAATTACAATCCTTCATTTTTTTTACCTTTTATTATAAACTGGCTTAACTCTTTTTAGTAGAACACAAATGACAATTTTAAACTATGTATGTGATCCATTACAATTCAGAGAAATAAATGTTCTTTTGACTTACCAGTGTGAAAATATTGAAAGTATAATATATATATATTATGCTTTATATATTTTATTTTACAGAAAAAGAAAACCTTACCTCCTTCTCTTTTTCAAGTAATTTTTTCAGTTCATTCTGTTCCTTATGTGTGCTTTCCGTCTGTACTTGAAGTTGATGCTTTAATTCTTTGCAAGTTTTCTCCTAAAAAAATGGAGATTACATTTTGCAGAAAATATCTGTAGTAAATTTAAGAATTTTGGTTTATAAGCTTAGTAAAATCCGCACACAAAAAATAAACTCTAATCGTTGATGATTTAAGATGGGATAGAATCAACCATGTCAATAATAAAAACAGGCAAATACAGCAGCAGAGGGTAGAGAGAGGAAAGGCTAAGAGTTTCTATCATCAACCAATAATCACACAAATATTTTAGATAATATTTAGACAATATTTTAGGACACTTTGGAAACCACATTTTTATGTCATAGAATTAAATTAATTTATGCTATTTTAAAAGTAGAATGGGCTTCAAGAAAATATAAGCAAGGAAATTTTTAAAAAGAAAGTATTAAAATAATAAATAAAAATAATCACATATAACCTAAGAGGGAAGACGTACAGATAGAAGATGTTTTCTTCAAACAGAAAGGAACACAAAAGTAACACAAAAAAATCATATATTTTTTATACTACTCAATACTTTCACTGACCTTCATATTGAGAACAAAAGAATTTTACTTTTGCTGTTACTCTTTGTTATTCTGGGTTAAAATATTTCTGAGAATACATTCTCATTTAAGCATTTCCTGAGACTCAGATTTTTTTCCCCTATAGTTTAAATATGTTTTTGATACCTCTGACATATAGTATTATCTAAAGTTTTATAAACTGAATAACGAAGTAGAAAGTTTACAGAATTAGAGTTAAGAATCATCAAGATACTTCTGGTCTTTTTTCTTTTTTTTTTTTTTCAAGCAAGCAAATGACATTTCAACCAGCAGCTATGTTCTCTGTGGAAATGTTCCTAAGGACAAACGTGCTGCAGTACCTCTCAAATCTATCATCAGACCAGCAACAGAAAAAAAATTTTCAACTTAAAATTACACAAACACAGTATCTTTTTCTCAGGTTAAGTAATCCCAATTCCTTTTCTTCATAAAAACTTTCAAATCATTTAAATGTAGGCTGAAAGGTCAACTGTGAATTAAGCAGAAAAATCAGTACATTTTAAATCTAAATCACTTCTTCCTAAGAAAGTAAACATAAACTAACCAAATCTAATATAGCAGCTTTTCCTTTCTGATTTTCTTTTTCAAATTCACTTTTGGAGTTCTTCAAAGAATCAGAAAGTTTTGATAATTTTTCTTTTGCTGTGAAAAGCTCTGTCATTACAGTTTCTTTCTCCATCTTTACTTTTTGTAGTTCTGTTGCTGCTGTTTGAATTTTGTTATTCAATTCCTGGTGCTGCATCTTTGCATCTTGACTTAAACTTTCAATTTCTTGTTTAAGGATCATTTTTTCTTCCTCTTGCTTGGTAAGCATTTGCTTAGTATTTTCAAGGGCTTCAGATTTCTTCTGTAGGTCGAACTTTGTACTGGATACTCTAAAGATTCAAGAAACAATTTTTAAAATAATTGCATTAATTTATAAATTCTAATTTATCCTTAAAAATTAATAAATAAATTATTGAGTTTTAAGACTTCTCTGTGTTAAGAAGTAAAAGTAGTAATTTAATGTCATAAACAACTGAAAAATGCCTTAAGACATCTGATCTGATCATTGAACAGATAAAGACGATTCTCCTCAAGTCAAATAAATTAGTGGTAAAGCCAAGACCATCTAAGCCTTTGACTAAATTCAGTCTTGCAGACCACAGTGTATCCCCAAAGAATGTGCATATAGCAAACCGTATAGTCTACAATAGCCAGAAAAGTTTTTCCAAATACCCTAAAGAACCTATTTATTATGTTAGACCCCAAGCACATTGAGAACTTTGCCTCCTTCCTTGAAAACATAAAACACATTTGTTTGACAGGTCTTAAACTTCAAAATGCATAAGGTTAACCCAGAAAAAAATAGTTAAATATATATATATATATATATTTCATTTCAAACACAGAGGAAAGACAAAAGATTTACTTTAATCCTACAGCCTAGCAGATTATATAAGAGATTTGTTATCATTTGTCCCTTAACATAAGTTTTCTATACTCAAATGAATAAAAAAGTTACAAGAATGAGGTGATGAAGATGTAGCTTTTAAAGAGTTAAAGACACTTTTCATAACAGGAATAAAATTATGCATGTTATGTATCAAAAGAAAAGCACACATTAAAAATCAACCATCTTTAAAGTGAAAATAAAACCAGGTGCAAAGTAATACTTCTAGAATGCATACTATACCCAGTGTACTTTATTATCAGTATAAATTCAACAGTATGTTAAACAGAAGTTGCCAAAAGATGTAGCAGCCACATAACTGAAGGTGGATATTAATAGAATACCAGAACTGCATACATACCTTGAAATTTTCTAACTTTTAGTCCCAGAAACTTGTACTTTTTAAAAAGCAGTCAGAAAATATGAAGTTAAGTACATTCATAAGATACTGTACCTCACTGATTTTTAAAGCTCTAAAGAGAAAAGTCATTACACTAATACTATTTTACCATTTTAATATAGTTAAAATCCCTGTCAAGCAACCTTAAAATTAGGACTTGTTGTATTTATGTACCATGCTACTTAACTTTCCTATAAATAATTACTGTAAAATCAGAAGACTATGTGAAAGAAGGCAAAACAAATATAAAGGCTTGCATAGTGAATATAAAACTTAGTTTGTTTTGTTTTTAAGCCACTAAAGGAAGTAATAAATCAATCCACAACCTGGGAACCTTAACACCCCTTTCTCAGAAACTGACAGAACCAGAGAAACGAATTAGCAAGGGAACAGATTAGAACATTATCAACCACCTGAACCTAGTTGGTATTTACAGAACGCTTTATCCAACACAGAATACATATATGTGCATACACTGCCCCCTAAGTAAGATAGTTTGAAAAGTCTGAATTTTACTGTGTCCTCTGACCACAATGGAATTAAATTAGAAACCCATAACAGTAAGATATCCAGAAGAGCCCCATGTATTTGAAAAGTAAACAAGAGAAGAAGAAAGTACAAAGGATATTTGAAAACACATTAAACTGCAAAGTAATGAAAACACATTATAAGATGGAAATTGAAGGGAAAGAGTTTCTTGCATAATGTAGGTGGCCCTTGAGAAAGGGGAGCCCTGTACCCTATTTAGGCTGGGCCCTATGATCAGGGGTGAGGTTTAGTCAAATCTCAGATGTGTTAACCCAGCCCTCATTTCTTGCTGGTTCTCTAGAAATGCAGGACCCTACATAAGAAATGTTTGCATACAGTATAAGAGGGGGAGGGATAAACCCTTAGTATTAAAACGTTTTCCTACCCCAATATGATGTGAAAGACCCTGAGTTCTGAACCATGAGATTAGAACACAGAATGGAAATGGGCTCATTTCCCTTAAATCCATTAGAAATGGAAAGAACCATTGGGCCTAAGAGTAAGAACCAACTCAGAGGTCATCTTCATGGACATATGACTGGGTTCTAGAGATGACCAGCCACTCAGTGGGTAATACAGAGGATCAAATGTACTCCCTAAATGCCTAGGCACTGGAAATATGATGTTAACAGTGAGAAGAAATGCCATCTGAGGCACAAGATGTATCTTTATATCTTCAAATTCACAGTACCAAGACCCAAATTATTAGATGTGAAAACAAAAGCTTTTTCTGTCATTACTCTCAAAACAAGGATGAAACCATGCAATGAAAAATAATTATCATCAATTTTGATGGGTTTTATTTCATTTCCCAGGATCCCAGTTTCCATCTTTACTACTGAGAGTCAAACACCCTCATCCTCTTGACACAGATCAAGTCTGTCAACTCAGAGTGATCTATTTAGCATTTAAAGACAAAGTCTACCGAAATGTGACTGGTCGCAAGCCTTCCTATTAAACCATATTACAATGGCTTTATTTTTCATTCACATTAGTATCAGCAGTTTATAGAATCAACAGAAAGAAACATTTAATAAATCTCTAAGCACTGTGATAGCAAAATTGAAACTTTAAGAAAATTTCAATACTTAGTTTATAATCCTCTCTCTTAAGTAGTTTGGCTTACATTTCTTTCTCCATTTCAAGTTGTTTACTCAGTTCTGTGGCTCTAAGCTCTAAATCTGCGTTCAGCAGTCTTTGCTGTTGTAGATCCTGCAAAGCTTGCTCCTTGCTTGCTTTAACTTCAAGAGCATCAGCTTCTAGTTTCTATGGAAGAAATGTAATAATCATTTTAATGTCAACAATTATCTCTGTATGAAACATCATAACATTTTGTTTATACTCAAATTTGTGTTGACATAGCACACAAAAAACAACCAAAAATATTTATGTTATAATAAAAAACACATTCTAAAGCCATCACTGCATAAAGGAACCATTTATCTTGGAATCTCTCAGAGGACCTGGCAGCAGGCTTTATATATGAGAGGCAGTCACCAAGGTTTTACTTTTTAAAATGAATGCTGAATAAGAAAATAAACTTTAAAATAATTATTTAAATAAAAATTATTAACTCAAGTATGCAAAAACTAAGCAACAGGTTTTACACACCTGGGCCCACTTACAATATATAATCCTTTATGTTCACAGTTAACAACACTGACATAATTATACATACTCGAAACTAAAATGGAGTTGTCATGTCATCCTTCTCACTAACACCTATTGACCCTAAATAGAAAGCCAATTAAACTCCTAATTTTGCTTTTTTAATCTCTTGGTCTAGAGATTACTGTGTGGTTTCTGTCTCATACATATATATAAAAAACTGTCCGTATTTTTACAAATTTACAAAATCAAACTGTTAAGCATATGCATGTAAAAATTCTACACCCTAAATATTTTATAAACCAATTTGGGTACTTGTGGATCTTACTCAGCATGTCCATTGGATATTTCATGTAACTATGTTAATTCTATAACTATATGTACAAAAATAAATAAAATAGATTGAATACCCCCTAAAATAATAAGTACAAAATGTTAAATATCTGATACTGTGATAGATCACAATGGACATTATTGGTTCTAAATAAATATTTTTAAAAGATACGCGAATAGAATTCTTATTAGATGCTTTTCAGCAAAATAGTTTTTCTGTTTTTTTCAACTATTACATCAAATAATTTATCATACTATTATCATTGACCATAAAGAAAAGAAAAAGGAACCCATAGGCAGAACTATAAACGTAATTTTCTTCTTCCATGTTATATTGGTGTGGATGTACACGTATACATATACATATCCTATGATTCTACAATTATACAGAAGTGCTTCATCTGACTGTGAAGGTATACGTTACACATATAGCAACTTAAGAAATTTAATTCACAGTAGTTCCAACTGAGGACAAAAGACTCAGGTCAAATCCTTCTCTCATATGTGTAGTCATTTAATTTCTTTAGTATAAATCAACACTTTCACTTGTAGTAATGTTAAAGACAGATACAGTTTGCTATAGTAAAAATTATAATAAATTTAATAGTATTAGAAACAAAATCCAAAGGGTACAAATATAAAGTTTAAAAAGAAAAAAGTCTATTATTATAAGGAGACTGGAATGATAGAGCAGAAGAAAGTTCACAACAACAAAAAAATAAGTTCCTTGTAATTATAGAATCAGTAGACCCCTGGCTGCTTGTCTCTTTGAAACATTTATACATTACAATGGCATCAGTATATAAGTTAACTTCTACTTGTAAAAGCCATCCATTAATGAAGAAATTAAAAGATAAAATTCAAAATTAAGACATGAAAAATTACAAGTAATTTTTTTCAATTTACATCACAACTTCATCTTTGTTTAGAAATTTAAAATCTTTGACTCCATCTAGGTCATCAATTTCCATTGCTACAGCAGTAGATAATGGCTAAATTCAGTTTCTTTTATACAAACCTTAATTTGACCTTCTAATTTTTCAGTTTTCTGTTCTAAAGAGAGGTGTTTCTCTTTATAGTCTTTAAGATGACTTTCCAGCTGACTGCAATGTTCTTGCTTATCCTGCAATTTCATAGTGACCTGATCCAACTGAGTAGTGATCTTATTTAATTCCTATAGAAAAGTACAATTAAAGATAACTTTGGTAAGGTTTACTTTATTATAGTGCCAAAATATTTGGTCAAAGTAAAACAGAAAACCTTAACTTTATTTAAGAAACTGTTTTGAATAAGACCACAGATAAGTCTAATAATATATCACAGATTATATTTACCCACCAATATAAAGGACCTGAAGTCCAGTTGTACATAGTCTGAGGTACAAGTTTATATACATAAGCGGCTCAGTAACTTTTTCTAGGAAAAATTATTTTAGGAACCAAAAGATACAACAGAATATTAACTAGGCTAATACTAAAATAACACTTTTATATTTTAATTAAATGTTTTCAACATTCAAGACACACCATTTTTTTAAATAGTATCTTTTTAAATTATAGTGACTACATCTATGGTACTTTTTCAATTCATTCAGAATATCTAGTTGCACAGAAAAAAATTACTAGGAAATCCACTACCCACAGATGATCACTATTAATATTTTGATAACTTTCCTTCTAGTCTTTTCTGAATTTTAGTTTCTATTTTTTGATTTGTACTTTTAAAAATAAAGGATCTCGCTTTACACAGTTTTATCATAACTTCCCTTGTTTTTACATAACAGTGCATCATGAAAATATGGCATTATTTTCAAGAATATTTTTATACCTGACTGCATAAATTTCCATTTTACTGATACAGACCATTTTTTAGCCAAATGTCCTATTTTATATTCTTAGATTGCTACTAAGTTTTCAGCAGAGATGCAAACAGCATCCTTAAAGCTGTGATTATTTTCTTGGGGTACAGAACTAACAGTGAACTACAGAATATGAAAAATCCCAAAGGTCTTGAAATAAATATATTACCAATCAGCTCCCCCTACCACCATCAAAAGGCTGAACTACTATATACTATCACAAGCAATGTTCTTCTATACCACGACTATTCCTTCCAGTGTCAAACACATAGACACAAACATTTTACTTCCATAAGAGCATATTCCCTTATTGTCTTAAGCTACAACTGATGCTTAATGAACGTGAGGATTTGGGAGTATAGTTTTGATCACTTACTTTATTGCAGGTTGACTTTTTTCATATGAATAGTGTTTTATAAGTCAAAAATATTAACCCTTCATCAGACATACTTCAGAAAATGTTTTATTCTGTTGCTACTTGCTAATAGAATTTTGTTAGTAATATGTTTGGCAGATAAATTTTAAACTTTATGTGGATATTCTCATAAGCAGTTTTTCCATTATAGTTTCTGGCATTGATCTTGTGCTTAAAAAATACTTTCCTGATGTGTTTAGCAATAATGTAAGTAAAAAGTAAGTTGCAAAACAACATACTTAATGATACTATGTACATAAAAGAAAAAGATCAGTGAGTGTGTGTGTGTGTGTGTGTATTATATACTTGTTCAATGCTTATAAAAGTCTAGAAGGATACATACCAAATTTAATGGCAAACATTCCATCTAAGGAGGAAAATGGAATTGGGGTTTAGGGTAAATATAGAAAACGATTCTGCTTTGTTAACTTGATATACTACTGCACTTGTTTTCAAAAAAAAAAATGAATCAACAACCTGTATTACTTCTCAAATAAAAAGTACATTTTAAAAAGTCCTACCTGGTAAAAGGTAACAAAAATCTACCAGCATTTTGACTGTGACCCTAAAGTAGGAAGCTTTTATTCTATCAGAAGTACTGAGAAAAGTTAACTTCTGTATTCCTTCCAGCCCCACTTACTCCTTCCTCCCAAGAAAAGAAAGTAACTCTTACTACTGAGATGAAATACATGGTACTGTTTTTGTGCTTCCAGTGGTAAGTATATTTGGGTCATAGCCCAATTTCCTACTAAGAACAGTTGTGGAAGTCTGTCTCTCTTTAATCACTGGCCCTTGATGGAATGAAGCAGCAATTCAATAATTAGGAATAAATATTTCAGCTCCACACCAAGGTCTATATTATGGGAGAAATACAATCTCAAAAAGCCCGACCTCAGCTGCACACAAGTTGAGTTTTATCAAAAACAAAGATGATAGTTTTATCTCCTTCTATCTGGCTCTTGTACCTACCACTCAACTGGTTCTGAACTCCGGGAGAAATTAAGGAGAATAAGCAAGTAGATCACAACATTATAGAAAGCTGGGTATCATTTTTATACATGTTTCCAGTTAATTTATCTACCAAAACATTAGGGTATGGTAAGAAATTGCATCAGGTTCCGCTACCTGCTGTTTATCTTGTAATGCATTTTGGGCTGTGTCCAAATGATTTTGAAGATCTGCTCTTTGAGCAGTTTTTGCTGCTTCTGCCGATAGCAATAATTCAGTTTTGGCTTTAATCTGTAACAAAATTTACAAGTCATTTAATTTGTATTTAGTTCCTGATTTCCCTTTGATTGAATATACATTACTTTTGTCACTAAATTATTAGAAAAGCTCCTTTGGCAGAACACATAGGATTTAGACTTTAAAATATAAGTACGTGATAATCCCCCAAACAGGAATGAGTAGGAGAGAAGACTCCTAATGATATTTTGATAAATGATACAAAGATGCCCCTATATGATACCAAAACACTTCTCCCTCTTAAACTGGACATCCACATACTGAATTATCTGTAATTCCTCTAACAATTAAATGTTAGAAAGAAAGAAATGTATATCCTCTTTTTCTATGTTCTAATAAGTATAATGTTATATTACTTTATTATATTATTTCTGATTTTCAATGGGATTATTCTCCTAAAATAAAGAAAATTAAGGTGCAGAAATGCTTCTATAACTTTCTGTACTATAATACAGATTAAGAAACCAATGATGAGAATGGAAGAAGAAATATGTCTTAATTCCCACCCTGTGATTGACTCATTGAGCAAGACTGCCATAATGGCCTCTGAAAGAAAATGTGTTAAAATACATAATGGTACCAAATCAAACCTTTAAAGTAAAATTTAAAAATCAAATTCAAAGTAACTCAGATAATCTTTAACATAAAATCTAATGGTATAATATCAAACTACTTTGAAATTCAAAAACCATAATAAATACTTTATAAAAAAGAAAAGCAAAAAGATCTGGTGGTTTCAGGAAGAATAGTCTCTCTCGCCACAGGAGAAAAAAAATGTAACCAGGAAAGCTCAACAAAGTGTCAGGATACAACTTTTAATTCCTATCCCTAATTTTTTTCCATTAATAAGTAAGGCAGGGAGGAAAGAAGGACAGAAACAGAATTTTAAATATATGATGGCCTAAAATTGGAGCTTTATTCTTACAAGCTCATATTAAGTTGCATAATTCAAATTACCTGTATGTCAAGCTGGGAGACCTTCTCCTTGCTTTCATTTAATTGACTATTTAATTCACTCACACTGGTTTCTAGGGAAAGGACGCGGTCTTGTGCAGCTCTAAGATGTGCCTTCTGCTCTTGCACCTGATCATGCAAATTCTCCTGGGCTTGTTTATGGCTTTCTGACTGATTCTTTAGCTTCTCTGTTAGTTGAGTCACCTATGATAGAAACAAGATCCTAATTATGAAAGTCACAAATGATATAAAAAGAACTAAGAAACTGAAATGTAAGTACCATGAGAATGTAAAAGAGCTCTATGGTAGATTATCTCAACTTCTTTTTCAAGAAAAATTATTCACATCTTTACAAAAATAAGTAAACATAATCTCAAAATTATAAAAAAAAAATAAAACTAAGTTTCCTATTCTTTTTAAAACTATCTTTACTGAGCTACAATTTAGATGAAATAAAATTCATCCAACTTAACTGTACAGTTTGAATAGATTTGATAAATATTTATACTCATTTAACCACAACCAGAATCAAGAGGAGACTATTGTGACTACCCCCAAAAGATCCCTCATGCTCCTGCTCCTGTGCAGTCAGTGCCCTCCACTCATCTCTGGCTCTAAATCACTGATCAGATTGAGTAATAAGAGTTCCTTATATATTCTGGATACTTGTCGGATAGATGTGCTACATATATTTTCTTCCAGTCTGTGTCTTGGCTTTTATTTTTGTAATGGTGTCTTTTGAAAAACATATGATATATCTTTAATTCAGATGAAATCCAAATCAGATGTTTTTTGGTGTACTTTGCTTGGAGTTGAGTTTCTTGACTCTGTGGTATCGTATTTTTAATCAAATTATGCATTATTTTCAACCACTAATTTTATAAATATTTTCCTCCTCTCCACTGTTTCTTGACATTAATTACATGTGTGCTAGGTTACATGATACTGTCTCACAGGTCACTAAGGCACTGTTCTTTTTTTCCCCCACCTTTTTTCTCTCTGTGCTTTATTTGGACAGTTTTGATTACCTTGTCTTAATATTCACTCGTGCTGTTTTCTATTTGCACAATCTATTATATTCATCCAGTGAAATTTTCTTTTTTTTAATCTCTAAAAGTTCTGTTTATTTCCACTTCTATTTTCATTATTAGTTTTCCCTTTATATCCATAAGTATATTCTAAGAGCTGTGTTAAAGTACTTGTCTGATGGCTCTATCCTCTCTCATTTCAGGTTCTATTTCCATTGAATCATTTTTCTCCTACTTATAAGCTCACATGTTTTCTGCTTCTTTGTATGTCTAGTAATTTTTTGATATTTATGGTGACAGGTCTGGATTTTGTTGTCTTCTTTGATGTTGAATTCTGCTCTGGCAGGCAGTTAATATACCTGTAGTTCATTCAGCTGGATCCTTTCGAGTCTCGTTCCTGTGCCTGTTAGGTCAGGTGTGCACTAGCTTTTACGCTAGGGCTAGTTAAGCTTTACTCCTAAGGTGTGACATTTCTGGGGTTTCTACTGAATGTCCCCAAGTGTTCAAACATCTTTCTTCTCTGACTGGCTGGAAGTTGAACATTCCCCAGCTTTGCAAGTTCTGATCATTTTCAGCCGCAGCCCTTAATAACTGTTTATTGCCCGCCTGGCCTCATGGAATCCCTCCTTATGTGTGTAAAGCTTAGCATTCAGCTAAAGGCTCATGTGGATCCCTGTGCAGACTTTTGGAGCTCTTCCTCTACATTGTTTCCTCCTCTCTGACATTCTGCCTTGCAAAGTTGAGTTCAACATCCCTGAACTTTCACCTCTCATTCCTTGATTCAGTGAGGCCACCATGCTTTCCTTGGATTTCCCGCAACCTGCACCACAGTCTAGAAAATGTTTCCAGGTCAAAAGCTGGAGTAGTCAAAAGGCTCACTTCACATGCTTCTGTTTTCTCAGGGATCAAAGCCCTACATTACTTGTTGTACAGTCTCTGAAAACAGTGGTTTTACACTTTTTTTTCCCACTTTTCTCGTTATTTATGGTAAGAAGACTAAATAGGTATCAGTTACTCCAGCATGGCCAGAAGCATAAGTACATATATTCATTTTTATTTATTCTTTTTTTAAAAATGTATAGGCTTTTCTGATCATATTTGTATGATATGCAATGTCAAGTTGAATGCAATTTACAACTAAAAATTAGCCTACAAAATTCTTCATATAAACTGGTAACCAAGGCTAACTTTGAAGTTTGGGGAAAACGTTATGTTATACTCTGATACTCAAACTAGAAAAGTGGTATGACCTACTGATACTTTAATACTTTCTCATTTAGATACCATAATTCTTTTATTGGACAATTCTTCAAAAAAAGCAACTATAAATTATTTTCAGTTTGAAAATGTATTAAGCTAAATTTTATGTTTCTCTTAAACCAACATACAAATGTTAGAATAAGGCAACTTATCAAAATTATTATTAGCTATATATTCCAAACACATATACATTGTCAAAATATAAGTAACCACTAAGTCTGTATATTAACCAATATATAGTAACAACACTTGATTAGTACTTCCAGTTAATAAATCTATTTTGTTATTCAATCTTTTTTCAAAACATCACAAAATGCCATGAGGCAAGTATGTATTAATAATATCTCTACTTTTCAAATGAGCTAACAAGGTGAAATGATTTGCTTATGGTCACACAGGTAATAAGTTATGTCCTGGGGCATGAACTGAGATTTCCTTTGTCAAATGATGTTAATCTACTTCCACTACAATAGCAACTCACCTCTAAGTTAAACGAGATAGTGTTTGTCAAAAATACGTAATATTTTTTAAAGTACTAAAAATGACAGAAGAATCGTTTAAATAAAGCTAAACTTAGTAAGATTTAGAGAGATAAAAGTAAATTTTAGAAATTTAATACACTTGAAAAGCTTACTTGTTCCTGTAATGTGTGGTTTTTTTCTTGTAACTGGTTAAGAACAGCAGTCTCTCCTTCGCCAGCCTGAATTTTTGCATAAAGATCTTCTCTTTCCTTTTCTAGTAAAGAAATATTTTCTTTACTCTTCTGTAGTAAGGCTTCAAGGTTCTGGATCTTTTGGTCTTTATCGCCAATTTGACGTAGTACTTGTTCCAAATCATTCTGTAAAGAATTGGAAACTACTACCTTAAGAATAGAGAACTTAAAAAGTTATTCCTCAAACATAAAATGACTGAATAAATTTTAATACTCAAACTCGTAAGTCTTACGTATTTTTCACTAATCACTACATTTTAACATGGCAAATTTTAATTCAATAATTAGAACTAAACATTTAACAATATAAATCTATATTATTGATAGTAAGCTAGAATTTAACCAAAAAAATCTTCGATTAACCACATTCTTATTCTTACTCTAACACACTGACCTGCCTACTACAATTCTTGTTTAATACATTTCAGACATGTGGGACTCCACATTATTCCTTAATCACACCAGGCACACGCTCATCTCAGAGCCTTTGCACTGTTTCTTCTGCCTGGGACACTTCCCCCACAAAGTCACATGGCTCATTCCCTCTCCTTCAAATGTTTGCTCAAATGTCACCTTCTCAATAACACCTACCCTGACCATTACACTTAAAATTGCAGCCTTTCCCCGATACTCTCTCTCCTGATTTTTTTTTCATAGCACTTATCTTCTAATACACTAAATAAATCACTTATTTTTCATGTTTATCTGCCTCCCTCCACTGGGGAGGATTTTTGTCTGTTTTATCCATTGATGTATCTAAGACACATATGCTCTAAGATATCAATTGAATGCACAGAGAAATAAGTGATTGCACTCTAACACACACTCCTGAAGGCTCATTTCAATACCCCCAAAGGACTCTTCTATTGCTCCATCAAGGGATCCCTCTTTTTTTACTTTACCAGGGGCCTTCATGTTACACAGAACACACCCACATCCAGAATAACACCCACTGATGTTTTGGAGCTGACCCACAGCCTTTGCCTCTGCCGCCATCATTCTAAGAGAGCCAGAGAGCCTCTATCTAGAACAAGGCCCTAACAAGCTTTTCTGCAAACTTCACAGTAGCCCACACCACCTTGCTGAGACAGAGTCAGCTACCACCTGGTACCCTCAACAGTATGCGCCAATATTAAAATATGTGAAATCAGTGACTTTCCAACATGCTTCTCATCCTCCTAATCACAGAATGATGGGAAGCAACCTAACCTCTCTGCTCTCATTCTCTGTTCCTGCCACTAATGATCCTTCTCTGAACATTCCACTGATCTTCTAAAACCATAGTTCCAGACCTAAGCCTTTTTCCAGAACTATCACTCTATATGTAAGTCTAACTGATAATTTGGTTCTCCCTTTACAGGTGCTGACTCCCCTTCAGCCCTCTTTGATATATAAGGACTGTTCTGTTGGGCAAGCAGGGGAGGTTTTTTCCACATTTTTTTCAACGACATGATTCTCTCCCTCATGTAAAAAAAGCTTTATGCTGCTTTGGGAAGTATGTCATTCATTTATTCTATCCTCTATGCTGTGTTGCTATTATCTATAAATCCCTACCTCATTCACTGAAGACTTGAAACCTGATTTAGTCTTTCTCTCAATCCCAATTTCTGCCAATTTCCTGGGAAATACAAAATACACAGAGGATTAAGAGTACAGCCTCAACATTCTTATCATCTTAATTCCTGGACCTTTACTCATTTTATTCAATCACTCACATGCAGGATCTTGTAAGCACTTGAAATTGTTTCAGATAAAAAATTTCAACTATCCTACTTTGTGATCACAACTTCCTGACTGTCTTCCAATTGCATGACTTCATTTCTGCTCTCCAGTGTCAAAGAGACATTGACCTCAATTTTCTTCTAGCTTATTTAGCATATGCCTAGCTTCTCCTCCTGAACCTCATATATAGTTATGAGCTAATTCTAACTATTCTTTCCAACTACATTTTCCATTTCCTTTTACCCCAAAATTTCCAATACAGCTACCCCAAAAAGCCCAATCCTAGATCAATATTGCAATCTGTTTTCTCCACACCTACATTTCTAAGCACTGTTAGAGCAAAATCACAAACCTGCATAAAACTGGTGCCATTATAAATTTCTAGACTCCAACCTCCATTATATACTTAGAATCATCTGGTCACTCCTGTCATCTGAGTGGAGTTCTCAACCTCAAACGTTCTCCTCAAGTTAACCACTTAAAAGCTTCAATATTCTCTCCAAATTCTTAATCTCTGCCCATCTGACATTCAAACAATATCCTTCACAGGATAAGTTCGCATTTACCACCATCCACTGCATCACTGACATCATAGATTAGGAATATCTTATTCCTTCAGTCACCTCCCCTCAATTACTCCCTCTACCAGCCCCTTTGTCCTGGACTATAAACATGTTCAGGTATCTCTTGTTCTCAGAAACATGTCCCATACAAGTCCCACTCCAGTTTCTGCCCAGTCTTTACACAATTCACATTTAAATTTCAAAAGTAATGCGTATTTACTTTCCAACTCCCTCATCTCTCATTTACTCAATGAAAAAATCAGATACCCATCTCTATCACATTCTTGAAATTATGTTTAACAAAGTCACTAATTCTTAAATGTTTAATCTAATGGACATTTTCCATTTATCTTATCAAGCACCCCACCAAACAACCACATGTGAAGTTGCTGATTACTCCCAACTTTTGACTCTCCCTAGTCCTTTGGCTTCTACTCTACAGGTTCTCCTTAATTGCTTTCATCATTCTCTTTCTTTGGGCTGCTCTTCCTCTACTCATCCACCCCTTAAGTGCTAGTGTTTCCAGGAAGTCTTGTCTTATCAGTTGTCTGTTATACTCACGGTAGTCCATGGCTGATCACATCTATTCTACTAATTTCATTTGCCCCATATATACTGGTGTCTCTCACAGCTAATACACAGCATGGTCCTGTCCTCCAGGCTTTAAATTACTGTATCTCATAGGTGCCTCAAGACATGTCCAAAACTGAACTCCTCACATTGCCCTATAAAACAGACATTTTTCTCACTTTCACTAACACAGTTGATGATACCTCCATTTACCATGTACCCAATGTTTTCAACCTAGAAGTCATTCCCTTTCTCTGTCATTCCCTACAACTATTAAGTCAATAAGTCCTATTTATTTTACTACCAAAGTATTATCGTATTTGTCTGTACAACATTTTTAACAGTTGCTTAAAGTAAGACCATTATTATTTTTCATCCAAACTACTGCATATATTAGTGTTTTAGCTGATCTCCTGTTTCAGAATACTCTCTCCAAAATCCATCTTTCACATAATCACAAGAATAACTTATTTAAAAATCAAATCTGGCTATGACATATCTACTGTAAGACCTCTAATACCTTTCTGTCTTCAAGGACAGACAGAAAAGCCTTACATAAACTTATCTATGTCAAATGCTCTGGCCTCTTCTCTAACTCATCTCTAAATTACACTTTAAGCTCCAGCAAAACCTTACAGTTTAGTCCATACCAACTTCAGTATCTTTTTCCTTCTAACTTCTACAACCTTTGCAACTCAGACTGTCACTTCTAAGAATTTTCAATGACTGCTCTTTTCCAGACTCTATCCAAATTAGGTAACTGTCCTCTATGCTACCATAATAATTTATATATATATATATATATATATATATATATATATATATACACACATACATACATACACACACACCCCTAGAATTATTATTACATCTCTTTAGTGCCTAGTATTTTTCATGTTTCCATAATGAGAGACTGTGCCTAGCCTCTTTGCCATCCTTTTCTTATTCCTCCGCAGGGAATGAGAATTTAACTGAAAAGTCTGGAAGAACTAAGAATAACTCAGCCCCTTGCTCTTCCCTCAGTCTAAGAGACAACTTGACTATAAGAAGGTAAAAGGCTGTCATTTCCAGCTTAGTCTGTTACTAGATGAATAAATTTAATTCTCGGGTACAGTATGAGAAACCCAACTGGCTGCAAATCTTTGCCAAAATCTCCACCTTGGCGTTACTACTCTTTCTTTGCTACTCTATTGTAAAACTCCTGGAGTTATCTACATTCATTGTATCAAACTTCTCTCTTCCCACTTCCTCTTGAACCCTCTCCATTAGGCTTTCATCCTTCCTTCTCCTTCCAAAGTGCTCTCTTCAGTGTCATCAGTGACCTCATGTTGCCAACCGAATAGGATTCCCAGCCTTTATGTTGCTTGACCTCTATCCTTCCAACCACCCAGGCCAAAACTCTTGGGATCATCCTTGAGTTCTCTGTCAATATCCTACAACAATCTATCAGTAAATCTGTCAGCTTTATCTTTAAAGTATATCTAGAACTTGACCATTTCTCACTACCTGCACTGTTTCCATTCTCATCCAAGCCCTATCACTTCTTATGTGAATTATTATAGTAGTCTCTTAGCCAATTTCTTTTCTACTAATGTGCGTCTATGGTCTACTCTCAATATAGTAGCCAGAGTAATCCTGTGAAATTATAAGTCAAATCATGCTACTCCATTGCTCAGAACCCTCCAATGATTTCTCACCTCACTCACAGTAAAAATCCTTAAAATTACCTGTGAGGCTCGACATGTTCTGACCCCCTGTTATCTCTATGACTACGCCCCTTTTAACTCTCTCATCACTCACACCACTCCACTCACTGGCTTCTTGATGTTCCTTAGACATGCTCCTGCCTCTGGGCCTTCTAATGGACTGATGATGCTCTTTTCTCTCATACCCAGATGGCTCTCACCCTCCTTCCCCTCGGGTCTTTTATCTTCTTAGAGAGGCCTTCCCTGGCAACCCTATCTAATTCTGCAGTCCCACTTCCAGCTCCCCAGAGACTCGCCACTCCCCATTCCTTTTTTCATCTCCACATCACTTATTACCATCTTAACACACTATATATTTTGCCTGTTTACTTTGGCTATTGTTTGTCTTCTTTACTAAGCTCCATGGAGCAGACATTTTTGTCTGTTTTCTCTGCTGCCGTATCCACAAAATCACTTCCTTGGCCAAAAGGAGACATTAATACTTTGTCGACTGAATGAATGAAAGAATAAATGAATATTTTGATCCATATCCATCTGACTCCCATGCCACTCTCCAAACTCAGAAGGGAAAAGACATATTACTTATCACCTCCTTTAAATTCAAATATTATTTCTGTGTGCACATCATTAGATTGCAATTTCCTAGAAGGTAGGCACTGTGTCTTATTCATCTCTCCATTTTCAGTGTTTACCACAGTGCTCAATTATATTCAATGAATTAATGAGAGACTGAGGAATAAATGAATGTCAAAGTCAAATTCATTTCAAACATTTGGATACCATCCACCTCTCAATCTTCTTAGCTATACTATAGAATCTGTACAAGTTAAACTCAATCACTTGTGTTTTCAACATCTACAGTTCCAGTGCTCATATGACAGTTCTGAAGCAGGGAAAGACATGGCCAACAAACAGTAAGTTCTACTGCAGGAAATACAAAATGTTATTTTTTACTGAGTTAACTAATCCAGCAAATTTTATTTGTATTATTTTATTTTTCAAATAAGGTATTTTTGATAGATGATAATAAATAATAAATCACTTATTATGCATAAATCACAATTTAAATAAATATATTCTATTTAAATAAATTTAATAAATTTATAATGTTATATAGATAAGTTTGTAATAAATAATAAATCTATTTATAACATTTTTTAATATTTTAGAAAGATTTTTCAACATAGCAACCAAAAAAAGATTTTGATTATCTAGGTACTGCAAATAATCAAAACCCTTCATAGTTAAGTACTTTGCATTATCTAGCTTCACCACAACAAAAAGATGATTTGATTAATTTCTGTTTAAAAGGCTAAAAATTCAAATAATGTTTACCTGAGCTTCTCGAAGTTTTGCTGTCGTGTTTTGCTGAAGAGCTTGTTGTTCTTGATGCTGTTGCTTTGTTTTATCTAATTGATGCTGCAATTCTGTGGAATTTGTTACTTTTTCCTTCAACTTAAAAAAAAAGTAGACCTTCAGTTGACAACTTAAAGGCATAATGCTATCATTCATAAAAATCTGATATTACTTCAAATCTCACAATTCTCAAGTCTGAAGAGAAAATTAAATTTAGACAAATAGAATCAACTTTAAAGGCAATATCTCATTACTTATAGAATCTTAATCTCATGATTAAGAAATTATTCCTTAGGAACAGACTCTTATCCTAAGAGTAATCTAATTCTTTCTCCAGCTGGCATTTTGTTTATTATTGTTTTTATACATTAATATGATCAAGAAATTAATTACATACAGATTTTTATAACAATAATCTAAATAACAGGATCAATACTTGTTTTACTTTTTTCACAACAGTCATAACTATCACTTATTGGGAAAGAATAACAATCTACCACACTAAGATTTTGGGTCTAAAAGAAAATCTGATGCTGAAGCTA